AAAACCCTACATATTCTAATTATGAAGCCCCCTATATATTACATAGGCTACAATGGCCAGCTGGACGTCTTGATTTTGTGGGGGGGAGGTTGGGATTGCCCCCCAGTTGCTGCAGGGAGAGACGGTAGAGTTGTCTGGGCCCATGACATGACTATGCTCGCTACGTACGTTTAGAGCGCAGCTCCAGCTATGGCAGTAAAAAAGGCCTGCTTACACTCACCTTTCCTTTCTGCCAACCCTGACAGCTAAGCCCAAAGCCAGCTACGTCATAAGCCCCTAAACCCTAAACCCTAAACCCTAAACCCTAACAAGTCTGGTTCGCCCAGGCGGAATCGCTTTCAATCCGTTTTCTTCACATCGATCCGGCCGCGCGCTTCGCGAACACCGCGGGACTCGTCGTGAGTCCTCAGCATACGCAGGAGGCCTTTATACCTCAACCTTAAGGGGTCATAACCCAGGTTTAGGGTTTAGGGTTTAGGGTCCTTAAGGGGTCATAACCTAGGGTTTAGAGTTTAGGGTTTAGGGTCCTTAAGGGGTCATAACCTGTTGCAATCAGGCCATTGAGGCATCGCACAAAGTGTATAGTGTGATTCCTCGTAACGTAAAATAATCAGATAAGCACCCAAACCCCTAACCCTAAAGGGGCTCGAGGGTTTAGTGTTGAGGTTTGGGGTATGGGGCTCAAAAGGAAATCCTCGGCAGGGTAAGCTGCGTGTGACATGCTTTAAAGTTGAGCTATGTCATCCGAAGTCTTGGTTCAGAGCCCAGAGGCAGTTGGTACAAAACTTGGGTTCTTGTTAAGGGATCTATCTTAAGTTGCCATAGTCAAGAAACCATACTATATACCATGGATTTCCATCAATTAAATTACATGCACCAGTGGAGGCAGCGGCAGCAAAACAACAGCAACCCGCATAATCGGACTCTCATTGCCTTCATTTTCCTCACAGCTGATAGCATGCATTGCCACTCTGGACGTCGCCGTGGTCGTATTTGCCCGCAAGTGTCATATTATCAAGATAGTTCGATAAGCACTGACTTCATAACACATTTCGCCATGCCACCAGAAATATCGCTTGGCTGTCCGCCTGCACAACGAAAATACCAGAGCATGTCCCTTCGGTACAAGGGTCGCAAGTGCATGCGGGGCTCTCCTCAAGTGGACCTCCTTACGACACATGGCCGAAGGTGTACAAACAGTTCGGTGAGATGGACATCACCGTCATGCGCCACAGCGGGTGCATGATGCATCTGAATTGCATCTTTGCCAGCAGGTCGTCTGGCTTTTTGCCAGCTGGTGAGAGTTTTGGTTTGGGGTTGAGGGTTTAGGAGTATAGTGTTTAGGGTCTAGGTTCTGCACATGCCGAGTTCAAGCAAGCGACAGCCTAAACACTGCGCCAGTGTCATTGGCCCGAGTAAAATATGAACCGGCATATAGACGCGATATCGCTCTTGGGACATGCATCCTGCGAGAGAAGATTCGCAGTTATCTATTAGTCCACCCACAGCCAGGCCATAAGATCCAACAGGCTTTGCGGTTGCTTTATCAACTGTAATCCTAAACCCTAAACCCTA